TCCAGAACGGATTAACCTCGCTATGCGAGGCACCACTGTATTTGGCTAATCAGTTGAGGTTCCTTGGGGAAATTATATATAACCCAGAGAGGTTAATTTGGTGGGAAATGGAATCATCAGATTTACAGGTGGACACTGAAAAACATATATTTGGTCCCATTAAGAAATATAAAATAAGCAAAATTAATAACTCATTTTTAAAGACTATGTTAAACATCTGGTACAAATATAGAAATAGGAAATCAAAGTCTGAATTTCAAATGGAAGAATGGTATCATGAAATATGGAACATTGCTATAAATGATAAGTTATCTTGTAACTTAAAGGTTAAGAAAGGAGAAATGTAATAGAATAATTTCTATGATCTATGGGGCAGATTTCTTGAATATGTGCTAGCAAAAGGAAAAAGGGAAAGCTCCAAATCAAGAATCAGTGCAGTTCTGGAGAAAAGGACAATAAAAGAAGATGATGATAGAGGAAGAAGAGGATTAGTGCACGAGGTCCCGTTTATGTTGTAGTTTAAGAAAAAAATACAAAATCATTTTTAAAAAGAGCTATACCATTATATAGCAATTCATATACTGTATAGGTTTTTCTGGCATGGCCCCTCTATGTTCCACTTTGTTCATCGAGTCCTTCTTTATTATTTAGAGGTTTATATTTTTTAAAAAAACCCCACAGTATAAAGTCTCGACCCTCCCTCCTTCTCTTGAAGCCACGCGAAAAATCCGAGAAATTAAACTCCCAAGGCAAAGAACCAAAATCCAAGAAATACGCGGTATTTGCAGGCGGGGAGTAGTTCAAAATGGGGAACACCACCTCATGGGAACAGCCAGAAATCGGGGGGGGGGCTGTCTCTTACCGCCAACAGCCAAATATATAACCCAATTCCCGCCCTGTAGAATCACCGGATGGAGGGGATTAAAAATAACGAGTCTGAATTCCTTACTACGTCGGGATGAGAAGCAACTTGAGGAACGTGACGCCCAAAGCCACAGGTAAGAACCAGCCTCCGCCTCCATGCGCCGCCATGACAGGCCGTTTCCCTTCCAAGAGCCTCACACAAGACCGGCCAGCGCGCATGCGCCCCAGATAGCACGCGCCGCTTTCTCAACGGCTCTTCCATCCCAGAGCGCCTGCGCGGGAAGAGCTACGCGCTTGCGCGGTAAACCCCGGCGTGTTCTGTTTCATTCCTAGCCCCTCCGCTTTACTGGGGCGGGGCTAATCCATGTGGGCAGGTGTGCCATTTTCTCCTTTTGGACTACAACTCCCAGAATTCCGCAGGATGGTGCCTGGGGACCTCTGGGACTTGTAGTCCAAGAAAAAAACCACAACTTTGCGCATCTCAAGTTTGCTGTTGCTGCTGCGGTTTATTTATTTATAGTCCACCTTTCTCCTGATGTTACCTGTGTCCGCTGCTATCTGTATCTGAGAGCAAAGCTGAAGCCAATAGTCTTTGGAGCATCTCCTGGCAGCCTGTTGGACTTGGCTACGAGCGGCTCGAAGAGCTAGCAGGTTGCACTCGCTAGGACAGGCTTTGTATGCTGCTAGAGCTCTTCTCTTATCCTCAATGGCTGGCATTAACTCCTCCGAATGGGCTTCGAACCAGTCAGCCATCTTTCTGGTCTTCTTGCCGAAGGTGGACAAGGCGGTGTTGAAGACAGTGTTCTTGAAGTGTTCCCATCGTTCAGGTGCATTTACATTAGCTGGACCTGGAAGGGTTTCCTCGAGTGCTTGGGCAAATTCCTTCACTTTTCTTTGATCGCGAGTCTTGTTGATGTCAATACGTGGTCTTCCTTCCTTTTTCATGTGATACAATTTCTTTGTTCGCAGTTTTACTCGACTACACGCCAGGGAGAGATCAGTATCGCAATCAGCACTCTGGTAACTGCGTGTGATCGTAACACTAGGAAGGCTAGAACGTCTAGTGAGGATCAAATCGAGCTGATGCCAATGCTTGGATCTTGGATGTCTCCAGGAAACTCTATGTTGCAGCTTCGTATTAAAGAATGTGTTGCTGACACAGAGACCATAGTAACAGCAAAATTCCAGGAAGCGTTGGCCATTTTCGTTCATCTTTCCAATGCCAAAACGGCCTAGACAAGTGGGCCAAGAATTGTGATCAGCACCAACTCTAGCATTAAAGTCTCCAAGAATGAACAGTGCCTCTCTTTCAGGGACTTTTTTGATAGTAGCTGCCAGATCGTCGTAGAATTTGTCTTTCACTTCTGTAGTGGATGACAGTGTTGGTGCATATGCACTAATGAGGGTTACTGGTCCTGCTGATGAGTGGAGCTGCAGAGACAGGATTCTTTCACTCCCCACAGTGGGTGGAACAATGCATCTCAGGAGAGTGTTTATCTCCTGATAAGGGCACCCATGGCCGCTCACAATAGTAAAAAAACAACAACAACAACAACTACCAGAATTAAAAGCATAAGTTGAACATTAAAAAACGAGCTATACAGTAATTAAATTACTGTACTACTGAAATAGTCTTTAGTGGGATCATGTAGCCTCTCCTTATTTCAAAGCAACAGACCTATTTTCCAAGTAATTTAGGGGTGCAACCATGAAATGGGAGCCTATTGCCTAGTCTGCTTAAGGGGGTTGGTTGGTGGGGATCACTGTAGTGAATCTTGCAAAATCCTAACAAGAATATGACAACAGATATGGAAAACAACAGCGTTCTCCACACAGAATGGGAACGTCCAATACACGCATTGTAGTCCGAAAGGAAGCACTTGTAGATGCCAGAGATTTCAGTAGTTAACGGACCATCACATTACAATTGTTTCTGAAGCAAGCAAAGGGATGCTCAAGATTTCGCAACAGTGGATTATGGAACAATAAATGACAGATGTTCAATATGCATTCAGGAAAAAGCTACTAAACGCAATTTATATAATTGCACTGAGGCTGACATAAGTAACTAGTTTATGACGTTTTAGGGCCTTAATAATCTGTTCAAGGTGTGAAAAGGCTTGTTGTTTTTTTTTAAAAAAGAGAAGTATATCCCTTGGTTTTGCCAACAATTAACTACTACTCTTCTAACTATAATTCACTTCAGAGTAATTTCTCACCCATTAATCCTCTGGGTACACTTCTTGTACTTCTCCGCCTGGACCACAAAGTATTCCATCATTCTTCTCTAGGGCATGGATATGACCTGATTTTCAGAGCCATTGACCAAAATCTTATGCCTACTGAAATACTGTAACACAATTGACATAAAATTGCCTTGGCGAATTGCTGCAATTTAAAGAAGTCAGTGTAAGCATTTGCTGTTACGCACTTGGTTGTATGACTCCGTGCAGCACCGTAAATTCCTCCACTAACTTCTTATTTTGCTGTAATTTAACAATGAAGCTTACAGGAATTGCTATTAGGCCAACATAAAAAGTCAATAGGATTTTGGCCCTCCGTTCCGGCTGTAAGAACTTTTTCCCATTGCAACCCAAATTATGAAGCTTTTTACTTATCTGAAAAATTAGGTGAAGATGTGGTTAGGTAGGAGAGACCAGAGATATGTTTAAACATAGCTCTACCAGTGCAGCAGGAATAACATCACCACAGCAACACTGCTACTAAGTCAATTTCAGATTGCTGTGTAATGAGACTTCATCTTATTTCACATGAGTCATGAACAACCCAAAATCCAAGCAGGAAGTATCTAATTAGTAGCAATCTGGTGCTGGTGGTGACGTTATTGCTGCTACACCAGCAGAGGTACTGTACAAACAATATTCCATTGTTTTCACCCCATAAAATATTCTTTAAAAGTGTGGAGGGGGAGGTCTTGTGAACTGGCCTATACTTAAAAAGAAATAAGAGCTCTTTAATCTTTTTTGAAATCTTCAAAGACAGAAATAATAAAGCACATATCCGTTTGCTGCACAAATTTTTTTTAATGACCAGTAAATTAACACATAGGATGCAAAATCCTTACCAGTATAAGAACACTTCCAAGGGCAGAGATACAAAAATATGATGAGAATGTTTCAAAATACCTCAAGTTAAAATAAATGTATGTACTTATATCTGCTGTTGCACCATTTAAGATTTCTGAGGAATGTGCTCCACACATGCACAGTCTTCAAGGAAAGTCAACAAGCGGAGATGGAGTCGGGCCCAAGATCTCGTAAATACTGTGCTTCCCACTCTTCAGTTTAAAATCAGCTGTTTGCCAAAAAACCAGAAATGGGGCTTCCATTTTGCTACCGACGTGTAGGCAAAGAACTGGCTTCGCTAATAGGAAGAAGCAGAGCAATATTTTTTTTTCTGGAATGTAATTTATGGTGTCTCACATCTTCCTATTGTGGCTAGCCACTGAGATTCTGGGCTCTGCGGTCCAAAAATGTACTATTTTTCAGACTCTTCAAAGAACACAGATGAGTCACTGTAGTAATAAAGGTAGCATAAAGCAAGCCTTAAAATCCCAATAAAGCAGTGGTTCTCAGCCTTGAGCAACCCAGTTGTTCTTGGACTGCAATTCCCAGAAGCCTTCACCACCACTTCTGCTGGCCAGGGTTACTGGGAGTTGCGGTCCAAGAGCGCCTGGCTTACCCAAGGTTGGGAACCACTGCAATAAAGTGAAGGGAACGCCAATCACAATGGTTCACCAAAGGCCTGATCATGCATGTCTTTGCTGCAAGCTTTAGACCTTCAAAGTAGCAGGAGAACGGCAGGATGGACTGTAACATAATTCCACTGGGGCAGAGCTATGACCCTCTTAAACAGCAACAGGCTGGGTGAGATTTTACAAAACAATCTCCGTACAGGTAAGACAGAAAAGCCATCAGTTAATCATTGATCAATTCAAAGGCGTCACCAGTTCACCCACCGCCCATCTAGTTTTGCAGTTTGAAGGTGCATCTAACCCTGATACATGTAACCTGTATACCTTTTAATCACCTTTAGCTAAAGCACCAGCTTTCAAGACAGAGATGACTAGGGCTACCTTATGGCCACGGCGATATCGCTTTCAGATCCACGCGGGCTGTTAGGGGCTTTTTCTCGCCAACTCATTCTTTTTTAAAGCAATCTCTTTGGCTGTTCTTTTTACTGCCTTTTTTTTTGGTGGTGGTGATTTTATTACTATGCGACACCCCCCCCCTTAGCCTATTTGAGGCTTGTGCAAAAGATGGGGAATCAATCCCTAACGGTGCAACAGTATGGATCCCCCCCAACGCTATGCAGGACGCATGGCCACTCAGACGTATCTCCCACTGTTTACCGTACAGCGCAATCCTGGATAAGTGTGCAATGAAGGGTAACCTAAGATTTTAAAAAAAGTAAAACTATTTGTTTAGGGAATTAGGTTCTGATTGGGAAGTGAATATAACTGATTGCACTACAGGTTCCCCCAAATGAGCTGTTATAGAAAGAATCCCCACCCTGTTTCTCTCTGCCTCCTCCTCCTCCATCTGGGAAATTAGTATCTTTGTCAAAGCATCCTGGATGGGCTTAAAGGAATACTCTACATTTCCCTGCCACATCTGGGTAGCAATTTTTGTTGACTGGACAGGCATCTCCCATGAAATTCCTAGCATCGGACTTTGTTCCACTGTCTCCTGTAGTCATAGCACCAAATACAAAGGTATCATCTTTATTTCCTTCACATCTGCTAAACTGATCGTTCAGGGTTATTTTTTTGGAAAACAGCAGAAATATGGACTGTTATTCTCAGGGATCTGAGCCACGTCATATCCATGTGCCGCAGACTGTATTATGTACATGAGACAGGAATCAGCTTTGATATCGATCATGCCCTGCTCATTTCAGATTTCTCGTTCCTTCAGAAATGTTTAGCAGCGTTTAACTCATGCAAAAAAAGAAGGCATATATCACCATGGATTTTAGCATCATTACCATTGCTTCTGATAGGTTAAATTGCACAAATATCCTTTTCCAAAGGGAAAAGAGAGGTTAAAATAAGTCACCTATCATTAGACAAAAGTAGTACCTCTCCAATCTCTGTCTCTGTGTAAACCATTAAATATTGCTTCTTTCCCCCACTAGAGCAAAGGTAAACCAGCTTCATTCCAGTCTTGACCCCTTACGATGATGTATCCTTCAACATTTCTCCGTCCTGATCCATGTTGCAGTAATTTCAGCCTCTCCTCTGCCAGGCAGAAAGGCATCAAACATGCAAAGGGGGGGTGGAAAATGCCCAGAAGTTGGGCCTTTTCCCCCAGTGCTGATGTCATTACCAATGCCAACCTGGTCAATCAAAGAGACTCATCACTTGCTAACAAGGCCTCTTGGGAAAGGATAATGTTGGTTCCACAAGCCGCACTGTGGAACCCCCCCATGTAGCTGAGATACCCATTCCCTGCCATTCTAGAGGCTCAATGTAGATTGGTTAGTCCATTAAGTGAACACTAACATCCAGTTAGTAGGCCATCATTCAGATTAGAGCATGACCTGCAAAGTAGGCTCCATGTGAAACTCAAGTCAAGACATCCCTTCAACACATCATTGCTGTTATTCAGAAAGGACCCCCAGGAGAGCTTGGTTTACTTGTATCGAATGAGGCGGATAATCTTATTATTCATGAAATCTGAAGAGTGTGGGTGGGAGGAGTCAACACAAAACCCATCGCTCATGGCAATTTTCAGTACTTCCTCCACAAACACCTGGAAGCTGTTGATTTGCTTCTTGGCTGGAAGGACCCATAACCTCTTTAAGTTCTGCCTCGTGTACTCTTCTTCCGGCAGGCCCTCCACGCTTGCCACCCAATCTAAGGTCACGTGGTAGGGATCCTGCAAGCCGCTGGATATGGAGGAGAGGTTGCCATTGAAACAGTAGTACAGTTTCGAGCCCAGGAGCTTCAGGAACAAACTGGAGGTGCTGAATATGTGAGCGTTGAACACCTCCATATTGGAAGAGGACAAGCTGTAGATCTGAGGGGCTTCCCGGACGGTGAAATGTACTGTCTGAGTCCTCTGGTCTAAGGTGATGTTGAGCATGGCGTTCTTTTCTGCTTTGGAGAGCTCTACTTCCTTCTCTTGCAAGGCCTCGATTAGAGGCTGAACTTGGTAAAAATCAGCTTCCCGTCGAAGGAGGCCCATCTCTTGGAAGTCCTCAGGGAGGTCCAGGTGGGAAGTTCTCAGGAAGTTGAGGATATAGCGGAAAACTTTGCCATCTCTGTCAATAAAACAGTTGCCCTGTCCATCCCTCTTGGTTGGCATCTTCCCGCTAAACATGGCGCCCAACATGGAATCTGGAAAACTGGTCAAAGTGGAGAGAGACGTTGTGTACAACTTCCCACCAACATTTAGCGTTATAGGCTCTGACATGATGGGAGAATGTTGTGATGTCAGAAACAGACCTGGGAGGGAGGAACAATAAGCAACAAAAAGTTAATGTATGAATCACTTTATGCTTTGGAGTAAGAAGAATTTAGTAGACAAACTCTTATATTCCATTTCCAATCTTCAAATGGGAATTAGAATGTTATTTCATTAACTAGTTTTGGTTAACAAACGAAGAATGAGAGGGGTATGGATACAGGCAAAAATCCTGTTGCATTACATACAGAGGTAGGAGGGAGATAACATCTCCGGTAGCCGCAATTTTTAGTAATTAAAGACTTCCTCCTTCCATCCCATAGCTCTTAGTTTCCTTGGGAGTCAGAAAAGCCATGGGAAAGAATTTATTTATGTATTTATTACTTTAATTATATACTACTCCATAGGAAGTTTTAAATTACAGAAAAAACACCCCCTGCCAGTGTCATCATCATCCATCTGCGTAAGTTATGCAACGGGATTTTAGTCATTCTATCTTTGGATTTGTAAAATGGGATGTCTTTTTAAGAGCATTTCTAGTTCTGATGGAGGGGAGGCTAGGCTAGGCTAGAAAAAGGTTTGTATAGATGATAGAGACTACCTACCCTTAAGGATAAACATAATTTCCAATTACATCTCTTTTTAACTGGTCAACAAACAAACAATTATTTTAAGAGGCACTTGATTTACCACTGCTTATCCGTTCAGAAAAGCATTTGCTCCTTGAGTTTTTTGAAGTATTTATATTATTTATCTTTTCAAATTGTATCTTTTAGTTCTGTTGGACTAATCAGCTTTAATTGCTCCCAGTTCTCATGATTAGTGCATAAACTCTTAAAGGGCGGGATGCACGTTTTTAGATAAGTAGAATAATAATTACACCTAGTAGAAACAGAATGGAAATTGAATCATATTTTCCTACAATTCCCAAAGCATCCCAACGAGATCAGGCTGGTGTATTCTGAGAACCGTAGACCAAAAAAGCAACTTTCTGCCTCTGATCAAAACACACAAGATCTTTTAACTTCCTGATTCCCTCCTTATGCTGTCTCCTTGTTCTCTTACCTGCAAAGGAGAGGGGAAAAACAAGAGCCAGTGACTTTCTTCTCATGCACAATAAAGGACATTGTGCCTTCTTGCTTTTAAAGGTGTATTTAGTATTGATTTTATTTACCGCTTTAAATATAATACTGGTTTAATTCTAGTTTAATATTTGCATGCGGAACAAAGTAACAGGATTCCAGCCCATGTGTAGGATCTACATTTTTAAGGCTTTGAATATCTTAGCGGCTAAAATGTAATTTTAATAATCTTTAATATAAATGTCCCAGGGTCATGATTCGAAGCTTTCTCAAACTGTAACAGATTTTAAGTAGGAAAAAAAACTAACATTAGAGAGCATCACTGTGAACATTTGACGTGCACATGACAAAGAGTTACCTGTTTTTAGCTTTTAAATATTGTCTTTTGAATGATGTAAGCTACCTTGGGTCCTTTTTAAGGAGAAAAGTGGGGTTACAAACAAACCAACAAATAAGGGCTTAGTAGAGATGGGCACAAACCTTGGTTTGGAGGTTCGTGCTGGTTCGTTCCTTTCCCTGCCTCCCTGGCCAATGACCCACTCGCTGGTCGGAATGTGCTCCTCTCTTTCTCCTCTCCAGCTGTTCAACCAGTCCCTGGCAGGAGCCCATGGGGTGGCCTGTCCCGCCTCCTTGTCTGATTGGGTGGCCAGGCAAGGAGGCGGGGCAAAGAAGCCTGTGCTCCTGCCAGAGACTGGTTGAACAGCCAAAGAGGAGGAGGAGAAGAGCATGCGCTGGCTGGTGAGTGGGGGGAAGAGAATCTGTGACGCCTATAATAATAGGCAAATCATGGGGTCCCGAATCATGGGACACACTGTCAAGTTGGACAGGGGGAAGAAAATCTGTGATGCCTATAATAATAGGCGAATCATGGGGTCCTGAATCATGGGACACACTGTCAAGTTGGACAAGTCACACCAGTGACTCGATTCAGATTTGTGTTGTTTTTTTTAAAAAAATGCCTCGGACTTGACTCGCCACTCAGAAGGGTTTTTTTGTGCCTCGGACTTGACTCGCCACTCAGAAGGCAACCACTCCTCCTTTTTTCTGGGGAAAAAAGCTTATTTTTCATAGGGACTTGGGAGTTGAGGCTTGGGAGCAAGGACTCAAACTTGAACTCAGGACTTGGTACCCAAGACTTGCCATCATCCCTGATTATAGGTGCCTGGCTTGATAAGAGCAGCATCCAATGTCAGATCTCCATATGCAAATAAAGCCTCCACGGGCAGAATTTTCAGACCCCCAGAGAGCACAACGCTTGTCAACAGACTCACTGCATATATTCTCCCGCTGAGGGAGCAAAGACTCAAACTTGAACTCGGGACTTGGTACCCAAGACTTGCCATCATCCCTGATTATAGGTGCCTGGCTTGATAAGAGCAGCATCCAATGTCAGATCTCCATATGCAAATAAAGCCTCCACGGGCAGAATTTTCAGACCCCCAGAGAGCACAACGCTTGTCAACAGACTCACTGCATATATTCTCCCGCTGAGTACTGAACACTTATATATTTTTTCCAATGGAAAAGCACATGAAGTCAGTGCACAGGCATGCGTACAAACAAGATGTAGGTAGAGTTATTTAGGCTTCAAGAAAATCAATAGTGTTGGCTGCCACTCCGTCTCAAGAGTTGATGGACCTCTCCTTTAGAACAGAGTATTCTGGAACGCTAAATGCAAGACAGGAGCTCACGTCCACCGTCAGCAATGCCGCGGAGACCGGATAAGATTCCTAGACCCTTTTGAGAGAGAAATGTTGAAAGGCCTGCAAAAAGACATTTAAATGACGCAAAAAGAAGCTAGAAAGCTCATTTGGAGGCCAAGGCATTCCAGCCGCTATGAAACAGGGTGCTGAAACCCAGCATATTGTGGGAGACTGGAATATGGGGTGAGCAAAGGAAGGGAGAAAACTTTCACCACCACTGAAGAACAGATGTTAGCAGAGAACAATAGGGGGCTGGATAAATTATTTCACCAAACCATTTTTGAGGTTGGTCATCAGAGCGTAAAGACAAGCAGAGGCTGTAAGTCATGTAATCATCTTTCCACTGCATCAGGCCAGTGTATATTTAAGTCCTAGTCACCCTAAATTCACTGCCAAATTACAGTCCTTTTTAACGAGTTTTTGTAACGTTTTCCTATTTCTTAATTTGTTTCCCTACTACAATTATAATGATGTCCTATTGAATAATTTTTACATGGCTGTATATATGTTATCTTTCATTCCTGTTCATATTTTAATGTTCTGTGAGCCACCTTGACTCCCACTGGTGGGAGAAAGCCAGAACGGAAATGCAATAAATAACTAACTAAATAAATGCGTAACAGACTTTTAGTTTCCTAGCTACTTTCAATTTCCCAATATCATTAATGTCTCAAACGGAAGCGTAACAACTTAAAGATAGTGGGAAATTAAAAACTTCCTTCTTCTGCTCCCCTTGGAGCAGAGGAACGAATCAAAGCAAAAAAACAAACAAACAAAAAAAAACACCAATTAAAATGTGCTGTACCTTTTAGAAAAAATGAAAAATAAATGGAAGGCTTCTTCCCAGAGGTGGAAGGAGACAGAAGATGGCAAGAAAGGAGATTTTTCTTTCTTTCGCAGCTTTACAACTTTCTTGAAGGAGGTGTACCAAATAAGGTTGCCTGCTTACCTTCAGCAACACAACCACATGATGGGCTATTAGATCATTCGCTGCATTTATAAGGCAGGACAGAACAGATTAGTGCCACACTGAATAATTAACCACACAATATCCAGTAAAATCAGGCTAAAAAGGAAAATACGCTGATAGCCCATTGTAAGAAAAGCTCTTAAATTCGGCCACCAGAGTCAAGTTCAATTTTTTTTTCCATTTTAGTCTTTGCAACTTGTCCTTTCTGAAAAGTTATGGAGCTATTATTAGTAAAAATTTCTGTGCGCTGCTGCAGATGCAACGAAGGACAGGGTGTTCTTCATTGTGAAGACACAGAAGCTGGCCATCTTTTAAAAAAAGATGCCAGGAGAGAGAAGCTCACATAGAGAACCTTTATCCTATAAACAGGAATCAGAGAAGCTCACATAAAGAACCTTTATCCTACAAACAGGAATCAGTTTAAACCCACAGAAATGTATTTACGGCAGCCAGCAAGGCTATCTAGAAACTTTTAAATGGTCTGTGACTTTATTTTCCGAGAACTGCAAGGTTCTTGAATACAGATTAGGCATCCTACAGTCTAGAGAGACTATGGTAACGTGCTCTGAATGGAGGTCTTGGAACAGCGTCTAGTATGGCCGAGGAAGCCAATTCGAGAGTGACCATCCCTTCCACACCGAAGACAAATCCAATCTGTCCCCTGTCCAGCTCCCTGGTTTTGCTGCTTTCGGGACAGCCTCTTGGCCTAGGCCTGTTTCAGCTGCTTGCTTCTGGCAAGGATGGAGCGCTAAGCAACCTCAACTAGCAAGGTTTATGCTTTGCCCACCCGTGACTATCATGTTGCCCACAGGTTGACGAGTGGATAGTCGACCGTGAGCCCCGGAGCGATTGGAAGGGAGAACGGAGACATCGATGGCAGTGGACACGTGAGTGTTATGTCCAACTGTGCGGGGTATTCGCATTTATATACGAATACCCCCATCTCTAATGGGGACTCGTGAGTCGCAACTTGCTTTGGACTCCAACTCAAGCTGCTCCAGTGACTCAACTCAGATGCGACTTGGGGGTTTGGGGGCCAGAGGTGAAGTCAACTTGCAACTTCAAACCATTTACTTGGGACTTGGCTCAGAACCACTTTTCCGACTACCAAGCTCTGAAGGAACAGGCAGGTATCAGTGGGTTGGCTTCTGTATGTGGAATGCAAGGCCATCATTTCTCTTTTCACCTCAGGCGGCAAAATGCTTTGGGACGGGCCTGAGATCTGTAGGTAGAATGGTAGACACTGAATGACTGTTGGGAGAGTTTCAGTTGTGTTTCCACCTATGCTGAGCCATACACTTGGTAAATTTGTTTATTTACAGTGGTACCTCACTAGACGACGACCTCACAAAACAACGAATCCGCATGACAATGAGGTTTTGCGATCGCTATAGCGATTTGCAAAACAGTGATTCCAATGGGTGGTTTTCGCTGGATGATGATTTGGTCCGTTTTTTCACAAGATGATTTTTACAGCTGTTCGGCGGCTTCGCAAAATGGCTTCCCTATGTTTTTGGGACCGATGCTTTGCAGGACAGCCATTTTGACAGCCGATTGGCGCTTTGCAAAATGGCTGCCCTATGGGCGATCTTCGCAAAACAACAAGGATTTTTCCCCATTGGAATGCATTAAATGGGTTTCAATGCATTCCAATGGGTAAATGGTTTTCGCAAGACGATGATTTCTCTAAACAGCGATCTATGGAACGGATTATCATCGCCATGCGAGGCACCACTGTAATACCTTCCTATTCGTGCAAAGACTACTTTGGGTGGTTTACAAATTCAAACTTTAAAATCCCATAGACCACACGTCAACAAACAATGAATATTCTAAGAGGACAATAAAGCTGTAGCATGAATTTCCTCCTGCAATTCATCTGGCTCCTTCACTGGCCATTTTAAAAAAGTCACGAAAACCCCTGTTATTCAGGCAGGAGTTTCAAAATATTATACCTGCTGAATCAGCTGAATTTATCAAGCCTTAACATGACCTATTCCACTATTTTAAATGTTTACTTATGTAAATGTATTTTAATGCATCCGGACGGTATTGTTTATTTGTATTTTATAATTTTTTATCTCCTGTCCCGTTTAACTGGCATTTTAATTATGCTGCAGTGTGTCCTTGTTGTAAACTGCCCAGAGTGGCCCTCAGCCAGATGGGCAGTATAAAAATGAAACAAACCATAAATCCTGCACCCAGAACGTCCCCACCATGTAGAGAAGGAATGTGAGGTAGCAATAATTTATATGTAGGCAAACACATCTATTTATGGTAAAGGTAAAGGTTCCCCTTGATATTTAGTCCTGTTGTGTAAGACTCGAGGGCGCGGTGCTCATCCCCATCTCCAAGCCGGAGAGCCAGCAATTGTCCGAATATAGTTTCCGTGGTCACGTGGCCAGCACGACTAGACACGGAATGCCGGGACCTTCCCACTGAGGTGGTCCCTATTTATCGACTCGCATTTTACATGCTTTTGAACTGCTAGGTTGGCAGGAGCTGGGACAAGCGATGGGAGCTCACTTCATCGTGTGGATTCGATCTTACAACGGCTGGTCTTCCGACCTTGCAGCCCAGAGGTTTCTGCGGTTTAACCCGCAGCGCCACCACGTCCCCTATCTATTTATGAGTTATACTTATATCCTACCTTTCCACCAATGACTTCAAAGCAGCATACGTGGCTCTCCTCCTTCCCAACTTTGTCCTCTGATGAACAACCCTGCAAGGTAAATTAAGTTGGGAAAAGTGACAATTCAAAGGTCACCCAGAGCCCCAAATACAGTTATGCTGGTACAGCACAAATGGAGGTGAATCGCCTCAAGTGAAGAACACTCACTACAGACATTACCAATGGCGGCCTATGTTGTATGACTTGGCATGCAACTTCTTAAGTTACGCCATTTGTGTGGCCGTGCAAGAGGATTCTGGCCGCAGTGAGTTTCACGGCTTAGTGAAAACTGAAACCTGTTCTGGCCCTTTGAACCATTTCATTGCCCATTTTTGGGAAATATCATAATGCATAATACCTGGCCCATTTTCGTGTGTTCTTCTTCTTTAAATATTGGTATGCTTACTGTTTTTAGTTTTCAAATATAAGTCTTTTAAAGATGCAAGCTACTTTGGGTCCTTTTTAAGAAGGAAGGTGAGGTAAAAGTATTTTGAACAAATAAATAAAAATATGCATTTGGGGGAGGGCGGAGAAGCATTTTCCAATGTATTCTAGGTTACAGTGACCTCTCTGTGTAATTATTAATTTGCATTGGACCCTGACTTTTAGGGGCAATTTCCATGGGTTAGAAATGTAAACACTTAAACCGGTCCACTACAATATGGATTAGATTAGGCTTTCAAAACACAATAGGTTCTCCAAAACCTGATTGTCATATTTTCTCACAAACACAAATAATCACCGTGATTATTTTAATCTACTAAAATATCACATCTCCCGTGTCTTTTATAGATAAGAAATCTAATCTGAAAAAAAGAGAAAACATTTCAGTAGTAATATATGTTTTACCAATTTACGTGCAACGCCCAGAGAAAAACAGCTTCCTTAGGAATCAAGGACTGCCTTTACCTGGTTGCACAATTTAATACTGTACTACCTGTCCAATCTCATTTCTGTTTATACAGAGGAATGGGTCAGGAAATTAAATGGAATTTACTTCTAAATAAAGCAGCACAGTGACCTGCAACCTTTTAAAATGTTATGTTGCCTTTCATTTAAAATTTCATCAAGTATAGGATTCTTTCAGAAACTGGCATGGGGGTTAGGTTCATCAGGGAAGGGCTTTCTCTTGACCTTACCACCTTCACAGGTGTATTTGGTAGGGGCACAGGAAAAGGCCTTCTCTGTTGCTGCTACTGGACTTTGGAACTCCCTCCCACTGGAGGTCAGCCTGGCCCCATCTTGGCTGTCCTTCTGGAAACAGAAGAGCTTTCTCTTCAAGCAAGCTTTCCCTCAATAACCGAGTGTTTGTTAGTTTTGTAAATGGACTGTTGTCCTTTACCGCTTTGAATATATTTTATACTTTACTGCTTTGAACCTATTTTGGTGTTGCTTTCGTTTTTAGTGAGGAATCTGTTTAATCCTTTCAGTATTATATACCGTATTTTTCTGTGTATAAGAAGTCCTCAAGTATAAAACCTCCCACCACTTTTCTAATCTAAAATTAAGAAATCTAAGTGGGGATTAGCAAGTGTAGGGGGAAAGGGATCAAAGCGCTGTAGGATCACTTTGATCCCTACTTTCCCCTCCACTTGTTTTTGTTCTCTCCTCAGCTTAAAGGTAAAGGTTCCCCTTGACAATTTTTGTCCAGTCGTGTCCGACTCTAGGGGGCGGCGCTCATCCCGCTCTTCAAGCCATAGAGCCAGCGTTTGTCCGAAGACAATCTTTCCGTGGTCACATGGCCAGTGTGATTTAGACACAGAACACTGTTTACCTTCCCACCGAGATGGTACCTATTTATCTACTCGCATTTGCATGCTTTCGAACCGCTAGGTTGGCGGGAGCTGGGACAAGCAACGGGCGCTCACTCCGTCGCGTGGATTCGATCTTACGACTGCTTGGTCTTCTGACCCTGCAGCACAGGCTTCTGCGGTTTAGCCCACAGCGCCACCACGTCCCTTCTCCTCAGCTTACCTCTGTGTATAAGACGACCTTCAATTTTTAGTCTAAAGATTTTAGAGAAAAGTATAGTCTTATACACGGAAAAATACGGTACTCACCACCGCTGGCTTGACATACCGTCTTTTAACGCTGTAAGCCACCTTGGCTCTTTTTTAAAGAAGAAAGGTGGGGCAAAAAAACATTTTAAATAAATAAACAGCTCAAATTTTTGCAAACACCTTGAACTGCCACCAGCTTGCCTTCGGAACAAATTCCAATGCAGATGCGCCAGCGAGATAGAAGGATAAAGGAAGCTTTTTTTGCGTTGCAAAATCGGACCATCGGTACATCTCACAGGTCTTTCCTATTACCTTTGACCTTTGGTTTTTTTCCTAGAAAAACTGGAAACGCCAGAGATTAGGCCCTGGACACTCCTCATCCAAAGCCTGCTTGCGAGCAATAAACCCACAGAGGCGGCGTGGTCCAGCCAGTGATTTCTGAACTGGCACCTCCGCTACAGAATCACTTAACGGCCTTGGGAAACTCTCTCCATCCTGATTCCTCATCGCCGGTCGCCAAAACAGAAATCATAAACCCCAGAGGGGTTTATTTCCCTGCCGTGCCTAGCCTCCTCCTTCCTCCTCCAAAACAAACAAACCTTGTCATATCCTAGAAACCGGTGAGATAGATTTAAGGTGCAAAGTGGCCACTTGACCTGGGTTTCTCGGTCCCTTTTACTGTGCAATACAGAGAATAAAGAAATAATAAAGATAATAAAGAAAAAAAGGAACTGTTATTATTTGGGATGTTTAGCACTGAAGGGACATACATTTCGGGGTTTTTTTGGGGGGGCGGTTACAGGTGCTAAAGGCTTTGCTCATCTTGGGGAGTACATGACATGAATTATTTTTGGCCGGGGGGGAGGCATTTAATTACTCTGCCTCAGACAACAAAATGTCTTGGGTCGGCCTCATCCCAGAGGGACATAAGGGGTGGAAGGATCAGAACTTTTCTGTAAAATCCGACCTCTTGGCCAAGGATCTGGGAAGGGGGCCGGCCACCGCCACCTTCCAACAGGAAAGCCCGTACTACAACACCCATGCACGGCCTGTAGCAAGGGGAAGATGGGACCCCATACCCCTGGCCCGAGTCCTTAGCTTCCCTCCCAGTATTGATCCTGCTTGGTATTGATCCATCCTCAGCAGGACTTGGAAACCCATTTTCCACCGGGGGGGGTTGCGCACCATGGGTCCCCGAGTCGTGGCATCACCTACCTGCGGCCGTCCCCCTTTGCCAGGCCACCTGAGCCCGAATCCCAGGGAAAAGTGTGGGCAATGGGGAAAGAAGAGCGGGTTAAGAGGGAGGGGGGAAGAGAGGGAGGGAGGCTGGAACGATGAGCCTCCCGCGAGGCATCCTGGGAACTGTATTTCTCAGCGCCCTCCCTTCCAGCCTCCGCGGGCGGAGGGCTGGACTACAACTCCCAGGCGCCTCCGGGGCCGAGTCCCCGGGAGCGATCAGCTGGCCTTAAAGGGGACGCCACCCTAGAATTGCTGCTGGGCTTTTGGAAGCGGGGAAGAAAAAAAAAAGCCCCAGAAAAATCAGAAAGCGAAGCGGCAGTCGCTGCCCGCAGTCACTGGAGCGCCGGCTGCGGCAAGCTTTGGCTGCCTCGGGGGCATCGCCCGTCCTTGGCCATCCGATTTGGGTTGGGTCCTTTTTATTTTATTTTTTTTCTCCCCCTGGTTGCAGAGCAAAAAAGGAGAAGAGAAGGGGCGTGCTTTTGCAAAATCATCACCCGAGCACAGGGGACGCGGATGAGCGCTGGACCCCGATCATCCTCCTCTCCTGCTTCGTCGTCCTCTTCCCTCCATTGCACCAGGACTGGATCGTGCAAGTAAGTGAATAAACGGGAGCCTCCGGTCCATCTCTGGGCATCTCTGCTGGCTGGAGAGATCTCCCTATTAAAAGCCAGGGTGGGGTGGCGGGGGCTTTATTTTTTTGTGCATCATCCGCCTCTGCTTGTTGTCCCTTTAGAGGCATGCCCGCCGCGGAAGCGAGATCCGAGAAACGCTGGACTTGCCTAATAGAACCTCCATGGGCAAGGGCAGTGTACCCGCTAAATAGGAGATGCTGGGGGAGAGAGAGCGATTGCTTTCGTTATCCGTCTCCCGAGAGGCGTTTGAGAGGCTGGCGAAAGTGTCCCAAATAGAAAGCAGTGGCCCGATCCACCAGGGATGGTCCCAGCCTTTTGAGCCTTCCTCATCCTGGAACCTAGATTGTGATGGACTACAAATCCCATCCTGGCTGTGGGAGATGGGAGCTCTCGCTTGCTTGCTTTCTCTCTCTCTCTCTCTCTCTCTCTCAGCTCTGGGACGGGCACTCTGCTCATGCTTGAGGTTGCTCTTTTTTCCCCTTCCTCCTCTCCTCGCCTTTTTCCAGGCTGAGATCTGAAACCGAAGGATGATGATGCTGGCAGCTGGGATGATTAGGGCACCTCCGGTTGTTTCTCCTGGTTGGCTTCTGGGGCTGTGTTGCCCCGTCAATTGCCTGTAGACGGAATAAAATGCACGGCAGGGATGGGTAAATGTTGGTTTCTGCCAGTGTGCAGAGAATGGTGGTTTTCCCCTACACCTCCCACCAGACAAAAGCTGAAGCTGGGGAGGAGAGTTAGTGTCAGATTTAGTGACATTTTATAGAATGGAGAGTGTTTTCTTTCAGGGAGAACGTTGGTAGCAAAGACGCACACTCGAACCCGGGACTTGGCGCCAAAGACTTGCCAGCAACCCTGATTACATGTAGATGCCTGGCTTGAGAAGAGCAGCATCCAGTGTTAGACATGCCCAACCGATCAAGTCCTAAATAACTCGGGTTCAAGCTATCTCAAGGACTGTGTCTCCCGTTCTGACCCTGCCCGGCTTTAAGATCATCAGGGGGAGGTCTTTCTCTCGACCTCACGACCTTCATAGGCGCGCCTGGTGGGGACACGAGAAAAGGGCTTTCTCTTCCTGTCTCCCAGACTGTGGAACTCCCTCCCACTGGAGGCCAGCCTGGCCTCATCTTTGCTGTCCTTTCTCTGCGGGCAAGCTCTCCCTCGGGGACTGCTTGCCTGAGTGAGGTTTTTAAATGGATTTTTGTGGCTTTGAATGTGTTTTTTTGAAAGGCGGAGTATAAATAAATAAATAAATAAATAAAGAAAGAAAGAAATGAATGAATGAATGAATGAATGAATACATAAATACATAAATACATAAATAAATAAATGTGTCGTCAAGTCAGAAGAAATTTACCCTAGTCCTAGTCCGTTGCTCTATCCAGTGCACCACACTGGTGTAAATATTAATAATACTGATGTGCCAGCAAGTAATTTCTGACTTATGGCAACCCTTTCCAGAGTTTCCCAGGCAGAGAATACTCTGAAGTAGTTTACCCTTCCCTGAAAGGCTAGCCTACACTCCCCAGAATGCACAGGCAGTGCAGGGGATGCTGGGGGCTGTAGTTAACAAACAACAACATATTCCAGTTCTTTTCCTAACCCCACCCCCCACCAAGAAAAGAGTTCTGTCCTGTCCCCTTTCTGTCCTCATGACTATGTATTTTTGCAAGAAAAAATTGCAGCAGTAATGGAACCTCCTGAGAACTGCAAGGGTGCCAAGAGAAGCAAGTAAATAGATTTATTGTCCTTTAATTTTTTTTCTTCCCCTCAGAAGGGTAATTGGAACCTATGTCTCCTCAGTGCTAATTTTGAATTAAACTACACTGGCTGCTATGGAGTCACAAGGCACTTTAGACCACAGCTTCCAGTCTGGGGGATTCTGTAGTCCAAGGACTGTAATATTTACAAAATCTCATGGTAAAATAAAGATCCCGCAACATTCTTTCCCCCTCCCCCATGCATGCATGCGTGTGTGTGTGTGTAATTATTATTTGTTGGCTTGATTTATTTATAAACCGCCTTTCTCCCAAGAAGGGAATCCAAAGTGGCTCACAATATTAAAAAGAACAGAATCAAAAACACAATACATCAAATATTAATAAATGAACGATACACTCATTAAAATACAATGGAGTAATTAAAAGCAAGTGGTGCTGGAGGAGGCTCTTGAGAGTCCCCTGGACTGCAAGGAGAACAACCCTATCCATTCTGAAGGAAATCAATCCTGAGTGCTCACTGGAAGGACAGATCCTGAAGCTGAGGCTCCAATACTTTGGCCATCTCATGAGAAGATAAGACTCCCTGGAAGAGACCTTGATGTTAGGAAAGTGTGACGGCAAAAGGAGAAGGGGACGACCGAGGACGAGATGGCTGGACAGCGTCATCGAAGCAACCAAGATGAATTTGACCCAACTCCGGGAGGCCGTGGAAGACAGGAGAGCCTGGCGTGCTCTGGTTCATGGGGTCACGAAGAGTCGGACACAACTAAACGGCTAAACGATGACGAAACATTAAAGACCGTTTAGCTTTTTAAAAGGCGTTCAGGGACTGGATCCTGATTGTTAAAAAGCTGGCTGAAAGATGGGTCTTTAGCTGGAGGGTGGGGAAGGAGAAAAGGGAGGGGACCAACCCGATCCCCCAAAGGAGAGCATCATCACAACCTGGGAGCTGCCACCGAGAAGGCCCTCTCTCTTGTGCATCCATCAGCCTCGCCTGTGCTGGTATTGGGACTGAGAGGAGGGTCTCTCTGGACAACCTTAAATGCTGAGAAGGTTCATAGGGGGAGATGTGGTCCTTACCTGCCTTTAGAAGCAACATCAATTTTCTGGCTACCTTTGAAAAACCAGATGCTGAGAAGCCCAGTTTAACGGATATAGTGGACAAGCGGATAGACCATTGCCTGTATGCCCGAAATTTCGGTCCTGAAATGACCGCTTCACTATCACCCGCTCATACTGCTTTCATCTCGCCCAGGTAGTGGATCCAAAGGTTTCAACATTATTTCTCAATCTCCCATGAAAATTATAGCATCTGAGATGAACGGCTGAGAAAAGCAGGGGGCGTCGGGAAAAGATGACAACTTAAATACGAGACCGCTTGCCCTAATAAAGGAAACAACGCTTCCAAAACCTAAACAAGTAAATGAATGACAGGACTGTTTGGAAGTCAGTCATTGACGGGATCATCATGCGTCAGAGGTAGCATGGCAGCACGTAACAACAAGGTGGATTCCAGGGGGGAGAAACCACCAATAAAAGCAAACCACTAGGATACTAAAAATATATTCAGAAGAAAGGACATGGAGTTTGTTTATGACTTTCTTTGCTGTCTTCAATATTTAGATTTGCTTTTGAAATCAAGGGCTCTTAGCCAGTTAACCTGAGTTGGAAATGCAGGCAGGGAGAGGCTAGATAACTGGGAGGGCTTTTGTTGACAAAAGTTACCCCCCTTCGCCAACCCTCCGGACAAATGTTTAGATATATGTAGTGCCCAACAGCTACAGTATAATGGTAAAAACATTGATTTCTTAACCATAGGAGTGGATAACTTTATATCCTGGAGACCGCACCCCCCCAGCCATGAAGAATACAGGGTGGTGTGCTCTGGTGCCCTCTAGCAGTCAACTCTGCTATTGCATCTTGCAAATATTTGCAAAAAACCCTACCACAGATTGTTTTTAAATTTGTTAACCGCCCAGAGTATTTTATTTATTTATTTATTTATTTATTGTATTTATACCCCGCCTATCTAGTCATTTGGTCTAGATGGGTGGGATAGAAATCAAATAAATAAATAAATAAATAGATAGATAGATAGATAGATAGATAGATAGATAGATAGATAGATAGATAGATAGATAGATAGATAGATAGATAGATAGATAGATAGATAGTTAGATAGATAGATAGATAGATACAAAACAATACTTCCCATGTCACTTAGAATTAGCATGAGAAGACATTTAAAAATGCAATAAAATACCTTTAAATGCCCTTTAAGACTCATGTTTGAAAGTAACTAGAGAATACTTTTAATTGTGCCAAGAGGTAATTTGGTAATTATTAGTTACATTTTAATATAAATTTATAACTCGTCCCCAAAGTAACAAGATACAATTAACTACATTGATTTAAACTCATTATTTGTAAGCTCTGCTGTCTCATTTTCCCCCCTATTTTAGAAATGTTGGCTGAAAACCTGTTGCGGAGTTAATACAAATGGTATAACTTTGGGAAGCAGATTGCCTTAACTTAAGAAAACTCCGTAAACATTACCTATTGCAACTGGTTGTGCAACAGATAAGGTCTCCAAGGATTTCTTAACTTACAGCAACCTGCCTCTACAAGTTACAGTACAAACGTTTGTATCTCTGTGCAAAAGGATTTCATCCATTGTATTTTCTCATATGAAAATTCAAATGAGCAGGGTGTTTTCCAAAGTGTGATGCCAGGAACTGTCTTGGATTATGAGGAAAGGCTGAAAGAATTGGGCATGTTTAGCTTTGAGAAAAGAAGACTGAGGGGTGATAGGATAATATTTTTCAAATATTTGAAAGGCTGTCATCCAGAGGAGGGGCAAGATCTGTTCTCTATCCTCCCAGGCTACAGGACACGCAGCCATGGGCTCAAGTGAAAAAAAGCCAGATTTCGGTTGAATCTCAGGAAACTGCAGGACACGCAACCATGGGCTCAAGATTTCGGTTGAATCCCAGGAAAAACTTCCTAACTGTTAGAGCAGTACGATGGTGGAATCCGTGACCTCAGGAGTTGGTGAGTGCTCCAACCCTGGAGGCCTTCAAGAGAAACTTAGTTCATCACTTGGCAGATCTGCTTTGATTCATATTCCTGCACCGAGCAGGGGGTTGGACTGGATGGCCTTGCAGGCCCCTTCCAACTTCACTTTTCTATGATTCTATGATTAATTAATAATTATTTGCTGTCCAGTCCTTTCTGATTTATGTC